GGATTCATGTGAATGTAGCCAGAGACTCTTGCGGAGGGGTCTTCACTTCACTGGCAAGGCTGGGGGAGAGCTGGGGCAATTTTACTGCCATGAAATTGGCTCCAGATGGAGGCAAGGAAAGGTGTTTATCCCCTGCTGGTGCCAGACACAGACAGAGCCTGCAGTACCTAGCATCTTAGGCTCAGAATTGCCCTGTGCCAGGCAGCAACCCCACTGAGGGTCTGGCCAGGGCTCACAGGGAAATGAGTGGACCAGGCTGTCTGCTGCTTGGAAAAGGCCATTTTGAATATAATGACTTTCACGTGGACTATGGGACTTGGGGGAAGGCATTGTGGTTAGGATCCGGAGGGGAAGAGGGAGGAAAGCAAAGAGGAGCTTCCCTATCAGGCAACAGAAATGACAGCACCTTCTCCAGGTTGAATTTCCAAAGCCCAGCTCTTCCCTGGAAGAGTGGGGCTGTGGCATCCTCTGCAGTGTTCCCAGACTGCCCTAAGGCCCCAAACCAATGATTCACAACAATGTTGCTTCCCCAGAGAGCGTCTCCCCTTTGGGTTGACATGTGGCCAGCTCAGGGGTGGAGGAGCTCCGGCAGCCACGAACCCAGACGGGATGTTGACTGAGAGCTTTGTGGCCATGGCAGAGGGGAGGGGTGAGCATCACCCACTCAAACGCACCCGCACCCCACCGATGAATGTGGAAATGTGCTGTCCCGCCCTCACACAGAGACAACCGACCAGGACTGCAGGCTGAGCAAATGGATGTTCTCTGGCTTATAGTGCCCCCTAGCACTGGCCAGAAGGATAGAGCTCCGAGAACTCTCCAAGGAGCCACCACCTACCTGCCTGTCTGAATGCTGGAAAGGAGTTGGTGGTGCTGATCACTGGACCCATTCAACCAATTCTTATTAAACTCATTGTTACCAACAGTTGATCCCTGTCTTCTAGGGGCTTACAGCTCAGGAAGGGAAACAGATGGGTAAACAATCACATTCGAGTCAGCTAAGTATCGTCAAAGAAGTTAATACGGGGTGCTGTGGGTATACATGGGAGGGGAATCAGAGGAGGTTTCCCAGAGGAGGTGACATCTAAACTGAGATCTGAAGGATGTGGAAGAGTTTGATGACTTTCGAAGACCAAAAAGAAAATGGAGATAAAAAAGACACCTTCCAAAACTTTTAGTGCTATGACCCAAGAGGCAAGCAGGCAGGTGAAGACATAACTACACTGGGCACCGCCAGAAGCCAGATCCTGTCTCTCCTAGGTCTTTAGCATCACAGGCTTCTCTGAAATTCCATTTTCAGCATTGATTCTTGGGGGAGGTAGCAGTTTAGGAACTCAGTGTTGGCTGGGAAACTGATGCGTGGTCTTCAGTCTTAAGTACATTCCTGTGTGTCAAACCTGTTTAAACAGCAAGACCCATCTCCCCTTCAGAAATATTCACTTCTCCTTGAGGATTTCCCATGGAATCTTAGAATTTTTGAGGCAAGAGAGATCCTGGGGACCACTGAGTTCTATCTTTTGTCCAATAAACACAGAAGTCAAAGTTGACTCCTGGACAGGCAAAGTGACTTGACCAAGGCAGGTGCACAACTACTCTGCAACATTCGGAACAAATCCCAGGTCTTTTGATTTTTTTTTCCCCACTCTACTCTCTTTTCATTTCCCAGAAACAAAGTTTTCATGTGCCTTTTTATAGTGATATGTTTGGAATGCATTAGCTCGACATTTAGAAAGGGGAAAAAAATAAACACACAAGAGATAAACCTGTCATGAGGACAAACCTGTATTTCTTCTGATTGGCTCAGAGGATGATTATTATCATAATAGAGAATTATTTAATCAGTGCAGGTTAAAGTTCTCTGTGGGCTGGGCACTGTACAAAGAGACTCAAATGGATCTATCTACAGATCTCAAAAGCAGATATGAGATCTGTGAAAGGCTGGTGTTTCCAAGGCCACAGTACAAGCTTGGGCCACACCCTAGAGCTTGGAGGACTGAGGCCTGAAAAGGGGCAAGTTCCTTCACCTGTCTGAATCTTATTTTTCCCACATTTAAAATAAGGATGGGTAGTTTCTGAGGTCCTTTTTACAACTTCTCTTCCTACAGACTCCAGCATCCTATAACTTGATACAAAGAGGGTGGATATGGATATGGACTCATGTTTCCTAGAAAAGTTCTAGGAAAGGGAATACCCAGTCATCCTGGTAGGTGTGTAGACAGGCCAGATAGATCTTGAAACTTAGTTCTTCCCAGATTTATAAATCTATCACTGTTTTTAGCTGTCAAGAGAAAGCAGGAGAGCCTGTATCTTCACTCTTACCATTAACCTCAGGTCCACCCCACCTAGCTTATTAAATGATGTTGAAAAAACAATTCTTACATATTACTAGGCTCATGAAGGGGGTAGCCCTAGCAGGAGGACTTCCCTGCACAAGGATTCATGGAGTTTGCTCTTTCTCTTCCTTAGGGTGAGAACTGAACTGCCTTCACATGGCGGGTAGAGGGGAACTGACTCAGGTTAGGAATAAGGCAGAACATCCTAACTGAAAAGCTCTTGGAATTTGTTAAACTTCGAGACACTGCATGGACTGGCTTAGGACACGGAGTGAGAGGAAATTAACCAAAAGGTAATTTCATTACCTTTCAGCTGGAAAAAAGATCAGATTCCACTTGCGATTTCATAATTAGGTAACTGCCGGAATAAAATGCTTCAGATGCTTTCTATGAGAAAACTGCTGCTTGAAGTTCAGCAGAAGTTATCTACTTGATACTTATATTTCAGGAAAGGCTTTCCCTTGGAGAAAATATCGGCAGATTGGACAAAATTATAACAGGAAAAGAAAGAGAAGAGAGGGCCTCTATCATGTAAGATGCTTATTCAAAGTGGATTTGGTCTGGAAAGTCTTATAAAACCTTCCACATGACTGTGGAATAAGTCATGTGGAGTGCGGGGATAAGCGAAACTCTCAAATTCCACCACGTATGCCCTCATTCAACCTGGATCCTTAGACTGGCCTCCAGGGCACTCTGCTCAGGATTCAGTGGGCTATTGGCCACACCCATGCTCCAGTCTCCTGAGACCCTATTTGGTTCTCAGAGAGCTAAAAAGCAGTGTGGCTAAATATCCTAGGCCTCAAAATATTCCTACTGTGGTTGGGGAAGTAATACAATCATACCCCATAAAACAATGAAAACAGTGCTGGAAAAACATCGAGTGACAGAAACATCTCTATGGGTTAGGACACAGAGTGAAGACAGGGAGGGTTTTTAAAGCTGGGTGGGGAACAAGCCAGAATGATGTGGAAACTGGTTTCCCTTTCCTATGGCTAAAATGCTCAAGGGGGGAAAAGGAGTTTCAAAAATGTTCTTGGAAATACTGCCTCTCACAAATTCTTTGGCCTCTGCTGTCCCACTGTCACTTCTCTGAGAGGTAACCAGAGGAGTTCTGAGAAAGAAGCTGAACTTGCATTTCTCCCTGTTTTTATTTGTTCCAAACTTGTAGCATTTCTGCAGCTCAAACATATGAATCTTTAACAGGATGAAGTGGAAGAGAAAGGGAGAGAGACAAGTGTAGAAAGATGGAAGATCCCAGCTGCAAACGGCCACTTGCAGTTATATGGAACAGATGCTGAAGTTCGGGGAAATGCAAGTCTCTCTGCAGATGGGAAGGGGCAGTGGAAAGGGGTGACTTGAGTTCCTGGCTGGCCACCAATCATCTTATCACCTGGAAAGTGGGAGTGATACGTGCACTTGCTTTTCCTATCTAGAAGGATTATTGTGAGCACTATAATGAGGTAAGGTACGGAATCCTGTTTTTAAAAATACAAAGCAGAATCAAGATGTTAATAATAAGGATAGTAATTGTGTTCGTTATTTGCAATCATCCGTTATAGCTAGCAGTCTAGGATCCTGGATCGCTCTCCTGGTTTTACTACAGTTTTGGATCAGCTCACCCACAAATCCCTTGCTGAAGGGTGGCGACCTGTCAGCAGCCATGGGTGGGGAACCATTTCCTCTTGCCTTTCTACTTTCTGTCTTGCAAACATGCCCAGGACGTTTGTACTTGTGTTCCTCCTCCCTGGCACTCTCTCCCGTGGCTTGTCCAGAGCTGATCCTCCTCTTTGCCCACTTCTCAGCAAGGATGGCACTTCAGGGAGCCCTTCCCTTGTTAGCACAGAGAAAGCAGCGCCTTCCCCGGTTACGTTCAACCCAGAACTCTGTTTTCTTCATAGCCCTAGCATCATAGAAAATCACCCTGTGCATTCATGGATTTCCCTGGGGGCAAGGGCTTTGTGTTGCTTAACCCAGCATCCCGAACTGTGTTTGTTGAATGAATACAGAACCCCGTTTGCTCTGGGGGAGCACAGAAAAACAATCTTCTATCATATATCATAGCCAGCTGCAAACAGCAGATGGCTTCTCATATCCCAGAGAGTAAGAACCAGAGAGAGAGAGAGAGAGAGAGAGAGAGAGAGAGAGAGAGAGAGAGAGAGAGAGAGAGAGAATGTGTGTGTGTGTGTGTTTGGGTCTTTCTCCTCTGCTCTCTCCAGAGAAACTGGAGGGGTAGCAGTTAGCATCCCCGATAGCTATTCCACCATGTGCAATCAAGGACTCAAGGACATGGCCAACCCTGACTCGTGGAAGGGGTTCTGCTGGGGTGGGTGAGTGGCGGTAGTTGGTTCTGGTTTGGGTCAGAGGCACCCAGTGGCGTGGGGCGAGGGCGCATATGAGAGGGGGCCCCAGGGCGCCGCTCGGAGGACCCGGCGGTAAGCACTGGTCCCGGGCGCACCCCAGCCCACCCACTCGCGTGCCCACGGCGGTATTATTCCCTATAAGGATCTGAACGGTCCGGGGGTGGCCCCGCCCCGCTGCCCCGCGCCCCCGGCCCCGCCCCCTTTTTGGAGGGCCGATGAGGTAATGCGGCTCTGCCATTGGTCTGAGGGGGCGGGCCCCGAGCACCCGAGGCGGGGTCCCCGGGGGCCCAGGCTATATCACTCAACCGCCCAGGCAGCGGCGCAGAGCGGGCAGCAGGCAGGCGGCGGGCGTTTAGACGGCTTCTCCTCCTCCTCTTGCTCCTCCAGCTACTGCTCCTTCGCCGGTAGGCCGCCCGCGGAGTCCTGCACCAGCGCCGAGGCAGCCTCGCCGCGCCCTATCCCGTCCCGCTGGGCACTCGGAGGGCAGGGCGCCGGAGGCCAAAGTTGCCCCGCACGGCCCGGCGGGCGAGCGAGCTCGGGCTGCAGCAGCCCCGCCGGCGGTGCGCACGGCAACTTTGGAGAGGCGAGCAGCAGCCCCGGCAGTAGCGGCAATGACTCCCTGGCTCGGGCTCGTCGTCCTCCTGGGCAGCTGGAGCCTGGGGGACTGGGGCGCCGAGGCGTGCACATGCTCACCCAGCCACCCCCAGGACGCCTTCTGCAACTCCGACATCGGTAAGCGCTACCGGTGCCCCGCCCGAGCCCCGCGCTGCAGCCGGGACTGCTGCGCGGCCCAGGGAGGCAGGACAAGCCCCACTCCTTTCCTCTGTCCCAAGAAAGGGGCAAACGGGGTTGGGGCGGAGTGGAGAAACTCAATGTCCTTGGCCGGGGGCGCTGGCATAGCCAAGAGGGGAAGATGGCCTGCAGAGGAAACTCGCTGTGGCTGAGCGATCCCTTGGCCGCCTTTGCTTTCCTAACTTAGGGCGTGAGGTTCCTGCCTGTTCTTTTGACATCTGAAAAATGTCCCCATTCACTACTAAAGGAGGAAGGGCTAGAAGAGAAGGGTGGGGAAAGGTTCTCAAAGCTTGGAATGCTAACTAAAGTGCTGGGAAGTTGACTAGTTAAAAAAAAAAGTTGCCAGCCATGTGCACGGAAAGTTGCAGGAGAAACTTGGAGTACTCCGAATTTGCATCATCTCCTGTGCCCATGAAATTTATTCTTTTCACTGAGACCCAACCCAACTGCAGGCTTCCCAAGCAAGCGCAAACCGAGCTTCTTGGACTGCCAAGTTTGGGTGGATTTAAGGGGGAAAGGAGGAGAAAGCTGTGGCGTTGACCCACCCCCTGGAGGCACTGTATTTGAGAGTGTTGATAGCCAGCAGAAGGTGGTGTGTGTGAGGGATCACTTATCACATAGCTGTGAAAATTCACAGGAAGGCTATTTTTTTTTTCCTTGAATGTGTGTGGGGAGGGAGAGAATGGGTAGTGGAAAACAGATTTGTCACTAAAAGAACAAAGCTGCCAAGGGTCACATCTGGATGACAGTTCCAGACTGGACTTAGTGTCTTGAGTAGAGTGATCCTGTAAGGAGCAGGAGGTCCTACTCCTTAGCATGTACAGAGGGCCTTGAGAGCATCCTGGGAGGCTTGTCTGGGAGTGTTTGGGATACCCGTGGCCAAAGGCGGGGTGGCATCTGGAAAACATCTCTCTCTTCCTTTCCAGCCTATAAAGCATGCAAGTCCAGTGGCCCTGCTGGGATAGTGTGTGTGCTGAGCTGGGTGGTGGGGTGGGACAGCCTTGCCACCCTCTGCCTGTGTCGATTCAGAGGTGAAGAATGGAGCGTGTGTGTTTTAAGTACAGTCATAAAGGAGAAGGAAATTTTCCACTGAGTCTTGGGTGAGGGACTCTACCAGTGTGTTGCAGTGAGGAGGGGGAGGAGGCAGGAGCTTGGCAGGGGAGGCAGTAGAGGCCGGGAGGGGTGCTGCTGGTGGACTGGACTGAGCCTAGAGGTCAAAGTGGGAGTGTGGTGACCAGAAAGTCAGTGCAGCTAAAGGGGTTTGTGTGATCTGAGGTCACCCTTGTTAGAGGTTTCCTGGGGCTGCAGGGTGCATCATTCCCTCTCCCTGGGGAACCTAGCTGGCCCCTGGTTTGTGTATTGCTTAAAAGATCCTTTTGGGCAGCCTGAAGCCTGGGAAAGGTTTTCCTCCCTCCTCCTCTTACCGCCTCCACCCACATTCCACTTACTCTTTCCCTCCTCATTCCAGTTTGTGACATGCCCACCTGATTAGTATGGGGAGTTGCTGCTGCTTCTGAGTTCCAGTTTTGCCCAGCGGGAGCACACATGCACCGGCCAGGAGGCTGGCAAGTGGAATCAGGGTGTGCAGGGGTGCAGCTCAAGTCCAATTCTGCTGGAAAATGGGCTGGGTGGGTTCACCTGGGGTTTTTTTTTTTGGTATGCAGTGGGAGTGGGTCCCCATTTTTCCCCCTTGCCCTTTGTTTTGGGGTTTCTACTCTAGAAACTGACCACAGAAAAGTGAAAACAAGCATGAGTAAATCCTGCTCCAATGCAGGCCCTCCAGTATGTTTACTGCTTAGGTTTCCTGCGGTGGGTCTGAGCGATGCAGAAGTTTCTCACAATTTCTCTGGATTGATTCAATAAATACCTCCCTCACTCCTTTTAATAAATTTCCCAGAGAAAAGCTAAGTTACCAGGAAGTACCCAAAGAGCAGGAGATTGTGGTAGCAAAAAGAAAAAAAGAAACAAAAAATCTTCGATGCTCTGGCATGGATCCCAAATTGTCCCGCCTGGGTTTGGTGCACTGCACTAGTGGCAGGGATGAGCTAATGCTTTTAAAATGGGAGGTGTGGGTGTGGGCTGCTTGCCTGCCGACCTCCTGCACCTTGCACAGCACCCTACTGGCATCCAGTACTTGGCTCCCAAGTATCCTTGCTCAGAGCCTTTCTGGTTTCCAGTCTGGCTTAAAACTGTCCATTCTCTCCCTCAAGAAAATATGTAAGAGCTCCCAATTCCTTTGGACCCACACAATCCTTTCATTCAACTTTGTAGCCCCCTAAAGGTGTTCATTCCTGCCTATCAACTTCCTCTTCTAGAACCTTCATGGTGGTGTTCTCTTCACGGCTTGGTGCCATGTTGGCCTAGCAAAAGGCATAGTAGGCCTGGCCCGGCCCTCTCCAGGGGGGCTGCCGGATGGCCTTTCTTCCTCTCTTTCCTCGTCCACAGGTGTCTCTTTTTGTCTTTTGTCCCCAAAGTCCTAGGGCCTGGCACAGCATTCTGGGGGAGGAGGAGTTAAAAGGTGTTTCTATAGCAACTCCAGGTCCTGCACCCTATGGAAGTGTTTAGGAGAAGAATAAACTACATGCTGACTTATCAGACACACTGTTGGGGAAAGAAAGGGACTTGGCAGCCGACGGGATGTCTGAGGTCCCCCTCCCTGGCCAGTCATTGCCCCTGAAACTCCTGAAAAAACCTTGACTCTAGAGGAGGCATGGGAGGGGGCTAGGGACGAAGAAGGTGGCCTCGGCGGGCAGATCCGCTTTGGCAGCTCCATCTAGCTCAGGAAGGGCTGGGCAGTGCCAAGGGCTTTCTGAAAATGTGTGTGTGTGTGTGTGTGTGTGTGTGGCTTCTACAAAAGAGGTGTTTAACTCTAAAAAGGATGTAGAGAGGCCAGGTGCCTCTCTCAGTCAGTGCCATGGGGGGGTGCAGCAGAGACAGAATTTTGCTTCAGAATGCCAAGCCCTTCTCTCTTTCTCTCCAGCCTCCTTTGCATGGGAGGAATGGGGCTGTGTTATGGAGTGTGTTCAGGGCCTGCCTCTGTGCCTGCTGGGAATTTGAGCATGAGGCTCAGCTTGGGGGCTGGCTGCCAGCCATGGAGGATGGCCCCTGGATATCTCCAAATTGTTTTGACAGGGCCCAGTGCCAGCAGATTCTTTCAGTATCAGATCTGAGGTTGTCATTTTAGTAAAGAAGCCATTTTCAAAGAAACCAGATCCATTCCCTCTCCCTCTCACACACAATTACACCTCAACGTTGGGCTTTGCAACTTAAGGAAAAAAGAAATAATCAGACTTTGGAGAGGTGCCAGCACTTGGTAGGGCAAGTCTGGGGGACCCAGGCTACGGATGTCTTGGGAACCATGGAAGGAGGAGAGCTGCTATGCAGCTGGAGAAGGGAAGAGACAGCTCTCTTGGTGGCAAGCACTTCCCCAATGCCATCTCTTTCACCCCTTCCTCCACCCAGCAATTTTAAGAGTAGGTATTGTACCCATTTTTCAGATGAAAAACACTGAGGCTGAAGAGATTGTGCTTGTCCAAGGCCACCTAGTTGCTAAATGATAAAGCTAAAATGTATTATCAGTTATACCATCCTTCAAAAACTTTTCAACTTTGATACATGATATTCCAAAATGACCAGGAGATGGAATGGTTGATTAACATTTGAAGAATGCTTTGCTTCTACATTTGGATTTTCCTTAAAAATATGAAGACAGCTAGAATGGCCAGAGGTTTTCATTATAAATCACCTTTAGGGAGGGAGAGCTTATTATTATTTTAGAGTATCACAGACGAAAATTCTAATGTTCTTTGGCTATTAGAACTGGAAAAGACCCTCAAAACCATCAAGCCACAGTAATGAAAGGACTTGGTTTGTCTCACTGTGGCCCAGGGAGAAATAAAGTTAATAGAGACAAGACATTTCAGGACTTCAAGACTGCTTACAGGTGGGGATGAGTTAGGGCTCCCCAGGGGGAGCCAAGGTGGTGGGAGGAAAGCAGAGGGGGAGTCAGGAGACTGGGTCCCAGTTGGAGAAGGTGCCCCTCTGACAGTTCTGTGTCCCTTTTATAGTCCCTGGATAGATAAGGCTAGAAAAGTGGCCACGGAAGTGGCTTGGGTGAAGGGATTTTTGTTTTGCAGGAACAGCAGGAATCATTCAGCTCCACTGCTGAATGGCACATTCCAACAGGTTCATTAATTAAAAACAAAAACAACAACACAATTCTCCATTGCACTGGGCTTTCACCATTCCAGCCAGTATGGATGAGGAGGCCCCTTCTTCTACCTTTTGTGGTAGTCAACTCCCAGGTGGCCTCAAGAGGCAGGGTAGGGTAGTGGAAAGGTGATGGGGAGGGCAAATCTGAGCTCCACTCCTTCCTCTGGGGCTTGCTGGCTGTGTGTGCCTAGGCATATATGGGCTATCTTTAAGCTTTAGTTTTCTTATTTATATAAGGAGAATAACAGTTTGTACCATCTTGGCCTATTTTTACCTATATTTTAAAAGCTACAAGTATATGAATGCATCCTATGTCCATGTATGTATCTTTGTGTGTATCTATGATATATCCATCTCTATCTATCCATCTATCTGTCAGAGTAAAATCCTTTTTGATTACTTTTTCTAACTCTAGTCCCTTCTCCAAATCCTTTTTTTCCTATACATTTATATACATAGGTACCCATAGCAAATTTATAGTAGTTTTTCCCTTAGAAGCATTAATAGTAGGACATTAAAATAGTGGAATACCACATATAGTATTCTGCTTGTTTCCCATTTAACAATGTGTAATAGAGCTCTTTCTAAGTTAATTTATATATAAATGTCAGAGGGGCACGTTCTCTAGCTGGGACCCAGTCTCTTGACCTCCCCCCAGCTTTCCTCCCACCACATTGGCGGAGTAAATACCTCCCCTGGGGAGCCCTAACTCACCCCCACCTGTAAGC